CGCATCAGTGGAGTTGTACTGCTTTGGGATGATGCAGGATGAAAGCTGCTAGATACAGATAAAGTGAAACCGCTGTTGTGTCACCTCATTTTCGATCCTAGATTTCAGTAGGTCGATGTTGCTGGACAGACTGTCCACTTGTGACACCAAGTCCTCAGCGCTCTGCATGCTCGGGAGGAACTCGTTGTATTTCTTGTTAATCATGTTGCAGACTTCGCCCTAGGTAGAAGGGATGGACTCAGGATCAGAAAAACGAACACCCATAGGGTTGCCAACTCTGACTGAAGCTATTCCGGGAGATATTTTTTTTCCCCAACATGACGTAATGTCATTTTCTTAAAATATCCTATTAAAATCTCCCGGATTGCTTTCAGTAGTCAACAAGAGATTGATGCCGATTGTGGGAGATTCCAGGCCAATCCTGGAGGGTTGGCAACCCCAAACACCCGCAGAGAGACACCCCAAGGCCGTGGCCACGGGGCCAAAGCCTCCCACCCCCATCGCAGCCCTCTCTGCAGCCCGACATGGTTGAGATGGGCAGTGTCACCACCACCGCGCTCACACCCTGTCCCCTCCCTTCTCCGGGCCCCCCGACAGCCTTTCTAACCCTCCTTAATTTACTCCCCAGCTGCCCCCCCCCCAGCCCATGATCCCACAATCATCCCCTGCCCCCAGCGCTCCCTGTCCCCCTGGAGTCCCCCTGTCCAGGGTCCCCATAGGCAGCCCTTGTCCAGGGTCCCCTTCTTTCCTCCCCCCTTCCCAGCACCCCTGCTCTGCCCCTATCAACACACATACACACATTGGGGTCCCCCCATGCTTCAGTCCCTGGATCGCCCCTCTGCCCCCCCCCCCCGGATCTCCCCCCACCCAGACCCCTGGATCGCCCCTGCCCCCCCGGATTCACCCGCACACCCAGGCCCCCTGGATCCCCCCTCAGCCCCCCCACGCCCCGCTACCCTGCATCCCACCTGACCCCGTAGACCCGCCCCACATCCAGCCCCCCGATCTCCTCCCCGGGCCCACCCTCAGCTCCTCCACGCGGCGGGAGAGCCGGGCGATCCGGGTGCCCAGATCCTCCTTCTCCAGCCGGCCCGAGTGCGCCAGCACCGCAGCCACTAGCGAGGGGGACGCAGCCATAGGGACCCAGCGCTCGGTCACAGACCCCCGGCCACCACCTCATCAGCGGCCCGCCACCGCGCGGCACCACGGGAAAGTGAGTCCGCCCGCCCGCTACTGCGGGACTCCAACTCCCAGAGTGCACCACGCAGGGCGGGCCTACGAGCTGCGGCGTGGGACAAACCTATTTCGAACGTTTTGCTCTTTCCCCGCCATTCTATTGGTCCGCCGCCGCCGAGCGAGTGAACGAGCTCCCCGTCTGATTGGTCCGCTGCCGCGGGGCGGGGAATATAAACCGGGACCGGCAGAACTGCTGCCTCTCGGCCAGGGGGACCCGGGGGCTGCCGCTGGGCCGCGCAGCGCAGGCGGTAAGTGGGGCGGACGGGGGAGGGCCCCGGGCCGGGGGTGCCGCGGGCAGCTGTGGCTAGAACGCCGGAGCCGCCCAGAGGCTGCGGGGAGGGGGGCTCGGGCGGGGGCGCTGGGCTGGTGCCGGGGCCATGGGGGGGAGGGAGAGGACGGGGCAGGGGGGGAAGGGGCCTTTGGCGGCTTCTGAAAAGCTGTCTGTGAAGGGGAAGCGCTTTGCACCTGCTCCAGAGGCTGCCCCCAGCCAGGTCTACTCGTGCTTTGCATCCGAAACACCCACACTCACCTGTCCTCTTTGCAGGAGGGGGCAGTGACCTGAATGTTTGCTGCCTTTCCTCTTGCCTGGAGGGGATTGGCTCTCCTGGGGGATCTGGTTGGGGAATGTATCTGACTTACTGTGTGACCTTCCAGACAAACTTTACTTTCCTGTCAATTTCTCACTTTCTTTGAAAAGGCAAGAACAAGGGGAATAAATGGTTTTCAGGTGTCTTTGGTTTTCCAATAAAAGCTTCCACTTAATCACCAGTGTGTTGGATTTTTCTTTTGGGGAGAGGGGGGTAGAAGAGAAGCTTGTAGCAAAATTTCCAATGTGTGATAGTGTGGTGGTTCTCCCCTTGCTTATGGGGTTCTGAGTTGGAGGTTTTGGAGCTTGGTTTTAAATCCTTCCCAGCTGGTTGGCCTACCTCCCTAAGAACACTATCCCCCTGGTTCTCCAACAAGGGTCAGGGAAGCCATGTTCTGAGACATCAAACTCTAGAGCAGATATCCTCTGACTGCAGCTTGCAACCTGCAAGTAGCTCTTCAATTTGTCTCCTGCAGCTCTTTGCAGCACCTCTTAAAACAGTGATTTAATTAATCACTCAGGATGCTTTTCCTACATTAATTTGCACAAAGCCGTTGATGTTGCTGTGAACATATAAAAATTAAAGATTTCCCATGTCATACTGTTTAAATATGAATCTACAGTAAATGAAAATGAATTCACACCACTGGGGCTTTTTTACAGTAATGATTGCTAATTTGGCTTCTGAACCACTGAGGTCTGAGTATCGCTGCTCTACAGCTAAACTTTTGAGGCATTTGTATACTCTAAAAGTGCAGAATGCAGGATTCTCTATAGGTAACCTTTACATGCTGGTTGACCTTTGCCTCTCACAGGGAGAGTAGAGAACTGGGCTATGGGCTGATGGGGCCCCAGAGAAGGGGTGGGGGAGATTGCTGAGCAAAGAGCATAGGCTTGCTACCCTGCAAGGCTATCAGGAAGATAGGTGGGTGCTGGCTCCAGTAAATGGACCTTCCCAAAGAGTCAGACTGGACTACACCTAATTAAGTATGAGGCTGCAGGAGTTGGAAGCCTTAGGGTTGAACTACCTGTGATTGGTAGAAATCAGCTCTACTGCAACTATCTAAACAGCTGCAGAGCCCTCTACCAAAGTGATCTCCTAGGATAACCACTAGCTGTTCTCCCTCTCCCACCAGGTCTGGTGTTCCTGACATATCTAAAATTGTCTTCACTTCAGAGCAGAAACATTGTGTGGTTTGTCCCCCACCATTGCCACAACACAAATGCCCCCAAGGTAGGTGTTTGGGTGCTGTATAAATGAATGTGTACCCACCTTTTGCACTTCTGGGGGAAACCTGGGTACTTTCCTTGTAAGTAGCTATGCCTGTATTATATCATTTCCTTTCTGCTTGCACAAAGCCACCACCATCTAAGGAAACTACACTCCTCTAAACGCAAAGGGCTGCCTGTCCCATGCTTAACACAGCTGCAGAGAAAGATGGATTCAGGAGGGCAAGCTGCAAGAGGCCTGTAGCTAAGTAATCCAAAACTATGATGGCTTGGAGCAAAGGCCCCTGTGAACTGCCAGCACTGGCCTAGTCCTTTCTGCAGAACATACTGAAAGGGAGAATAGGCCCTGCACCCTTATGGTAAAGGTAGAAATATAGTTAACATTCACCCTTCTTCAGCCTTAGTTCTCTCTGGGAGGTGAAGCAACACAGCATGTCTGCTGGAGAAAAGATTGCATTATAACCTGCTGCTGTCCTCATCTGCTCACACACAAAACAGGAGCTAATTCATCAACCAGTGTGAAATAATGTGATGACCATTCCCAGTTAACTTGTTCCTTTTGTTTTCCCCTTCCATAACTACACTGGAGGTGTTTGTAGTAATAATTTAGCCCTTCTAAGCCTGTGATTCTATACCTGGATGCAGAAAAGGGCTGCTAAACTGCCTTTCAAAAGTAGTGAGATGTAGCAAGTCTTTAACCTGCATTTTATCTGCTCCCCCACACTTCTATCAGTAAAGCAATCCTATGCAGCTGGGGGAGTGTATTTTTTTCAGGTGGAAGGGGAGATGAATGGGGGATTAGCTAAAGAGAGCCAGCTGATGGCGTTTGGGAGTTGGGGTTGCACACAGAGTTGATCACAAGCAAATTCGCAATGCTGGTGAAAGGTGTCAGATTGTAGTGCTGGAGCCTAACAGGTTCTGGTTATTCCTAGAATGGTGCACCATGCACTGCAGCTACAGAAGCACTTCTCCTCTCCCCCACAAAGCTCTGCAGATATGCCCAATCCATGCCCCAGCCTGCTCACCCCTAAGCATGGGAGTGAGGGATTAAGGGCCAGATCCTCCAATGCAGGGGTTCTGAAAATGGGGGTGGGGACCCCTCAAGGGGCCATGAGGTTATTACATGGGGGGGGGGTTGTGAGTTGTCAGCCTCCACCCCAAACCTCACTTTGCCTCCAGCATTTATAATGGTATTAAATATATGAAAAAGTGTTTTTAATGTATTAAGGGGGGTCGCACTCAGAGGCTTGCTGTGTGAAAGGGGTCACCAGTACAGAAGTCTGAGAACCCCTGCTCCAAGCTATTTACACACCTAACTCCTGTTAATTTCAGTGGGAGTTAGGTGCCTAATACTTTCGAGGACCTGGGCTCAGATCTGAAACAATATCGAAGTGGTAAAAGGCTCCCGTTCCCATTCTCAGCCCCCTGCACCAGGCAGTGGCCCTATAGACTGAGCAGGAACCCCCAGCATATGCAAACACATACATGCCCAGTGCCTATACCCACCCACAAAACACTGCTCTCTAGGGGTTTGAGATTTTAATCACCCGCTGAATTTTTTGTTTTTCCATGACCTTATTACAAAAGACATTGCAAAAATAATTCCACTTAGCTGCAGCTCGACCTGGAGACGCGGGATGTGTTGAGAGGTTAGGGACAGCGATCAGAGGACGCAGGGAAGGAGGGGCGAGGGATACACTGTACAGAGAGAGAGTTCCATATGGCACTGTCAGTAGGAGACACTTCCACGTGAGTGCCCGAGCTGCGTCTGGGGGAAACACCAGCTCCGGGTACCTACAATCCAATAAGGACATGGCATGGTGGCAGGAGAACATGTGAAACTGAAAGGGCTGCACAAACCCTAAAGTGCCTGATGTGGACATAATGGGAACCAGAGACTATGGAGAGGGGTTCCCTGCCCCCCTCCAAGCGGCACTCCCTGGGGTGTCTGAAGGTGGGATTGTTAATTCTTGTGTCATGTGACCCACACCTACACGGGGGGCTCTCTGTCACTCTCCGCTACAGCCCTTGAGCTAGCAGAGCTGGTCATTTTGCACAGGCCGTAAGATCTAGAGGTCTCAAGTTGGATCTCTGCTGCTTATGGCCTACCCCGGGGCAGCACCTTATACTCACAGGGAAGGTGACATTTCCTCCACATAACAGTCAATGGCTGATGAGCCTCCTGGCTGTGTGGCCCAAGCCCTTGTTCCACATTTCCCTGGTCCCTTACCCCAGCCTGGAGTAGGGAGCTACAGGGGTCTCTAACCCCACCACCTCCTCCATAGGAAGGTAGCATCAACTGCCCGTATTGGAGATAGAGAGAGCACAATGGCTCCACCACAGAGCTCACTGGTGAAGATGTCAATGCATGTTCAGGTTGGCCGGAGAGCAGCAGTGCACCTTTCCCCTGGCCTCTCCCCCCACTTGCACCAGGGACATCTCCGGATGCAAAGCAGCAGCACTCGTACTTGGGGCAGACAAGTGACTGCACTGGGGTGTCTCCTGTCACTCTGTGTTGGGGAGGAGCTCAGAGACTGATCTGGTTCTGGAACTCGGCACTCGTTTCCTCCTCCGTGATGTTGGGGATGCCCAGCCTGGCTAGGGTTTCCTCACTGGGACCCTCATCCTGCAAGACATCATTCAGCTCGGCTGAGAAGCAGGGATGCACCAGGTGGTCCCAGTACAAGCTCAGGGTGGACTGGTCCTGACGTTCCATCTCCTTCAGTTCGTATATCTCCTTGGCGCTGGCTGCTGGGGTCTGCACCTCAAATGTCTTCTCAAACCTGCTGTAGTCTACTCGAAAGGCTCCTTTCTCCAGGGTCATGCAGGGCTCAAACCGATATCCCCAAAGGATCTCGTCCTCTGTGTAAGAGGTCCGGGCTTGACATGTCATTCCTACAGTGAGAAAGAAGCACATGCAGTCAGGACCATTAATTGGGCAGGTTGTATTGCAAAAAGGGATACAGAATGGATTCATGGGCAAAGGACAACTGTTGACTAATGGGGTCAGGAGGTAACTTTGCCTGGAGACAGGTCATCCCATAGCTGCAGGGTTTCTTGCACCTTCCTCTGAGCCAGCTGGTACTGGTGAGTGTTAGACTCAGGATACGGGACTAGGTTAAACCCTGGGTCTGAACAATCTGGCAATTCCCATGTGCCTGGTCAGCCTCTGAAGGGTAAGTCTCCTGTGCTGAATGGGTATTTGCGCAGTTACTGAGGCACGTGAAATGGATATTTAGGTTCAGACAAGCACAGCTGTGGGAGCCAGATAAATACCTGTATTAGAAAGGAGCAGACAGTGCTAATCTGTGCACCAAAAGCAGGACATTTAACCTAGACTGGACAATATACTGATAAATATACTGTAAGAACCCAGTCCTGTGCTGGTTCCCAGGGCTATGGACTAGATGAAACCAACTCTGTCTGCTGTGTCTGTGATTCTAGGCCAGCAGGGCTCTCTTCTCAGCCCAAAGTTTGACCTATCCTAGGATTGCTGTCTGACTCACGTAGACTGACTGTAGCTATTTAGTTTTCCATATACATGTTTGTCTCCCCAATGTTTCACCATGAAACGAGGCTAAAAAGAACTCTATCTGGAGGATAGACTGTAGGGAACAATCGTGCACTGGTCCCTGGTAGCGACTAGATCAGTTACACACTGGGAGGGGCTTTGGGGAATGCCTGATCAATACAGTGTCTCCAGATTGCAAGGGGTGATTTCCTTGCCCCTGATAGAGGTAGCAAGGAACTAGGTCTGCAAATGGTTCTATTGTCCCTGCTAGAGAAGATTCATCCCTGGGCCTCAAAATAATACTTGTGAAGCACCAATATTTTTGCCTTTGGAATGGGCCAAACTGCTTTATAAGGCAGCAGGTTTTCCCAAACTTTCCCTCTAGGGGAGGAGACACCCCCAGGTCCCTCTACCGCCCCATACCCATCTTGCACAAGTTTGAACACTGGGTGGGAATTGGCAGCTCATGTTTTTAAATCACCATTTTTCTGACTCTAGGAAAGCCTAAGAGCTAAAGACCAGCAGAGGGAGCCGAAATCAGCTGACAATCTATTTGGGAGCAATGAAGGATAGTACAGCGAGGGCGGCAGAGTGAGACTGAGAAAGGGTGTGCGCTCCATGAGAAGTGCGTGCAGGTGTGTATGTGAGAGAGAGAGTGGGAAGTGAGGTGGAGAACTGATAAAGAACAACAAAAAGCAAGGGTTTTTAAAAGGGATGGGGGGGAAATGAAGCTTAAACCATCAAAATGAAAATTTCATATCAAGCAGCTGGGCACCATCGCATCAAATCATCCATCCACAAACCTGTAATTAACACAGTTCCAATGTCACCAATCCCAAGCATTAAAAAATCACAAGTCAGCCCCTTCTTCTCCCCTCGCCCCCACCCCCAGAAAAGAAAAAAGAACACGAGATGGGCTTAAAAATAAAGAGATTTTTAAAAATAACCAATTTCTGGATTGTTCAAGTTGTCTTCTGGGTTTGGAATCTCTAGGGTGCACAATTTCAAGCTTTTCTCCACAACCGTGAGGGCTAAAAGGTGGGTGTTTATACAAACAGAAGCTGAGATTCTCATGTCATCTCATGATTCCAATCTGGGGCTTTAAGAATTGTCTTCCCACCCCTCCCCCAAAAAATCATGAGAGTTGGCAACAACTGTAACAGTTCTTTCCAGTGAAGAGAGACAGGTGGGGAAGTTGGTGGTCTTCATTGAAGTCTTCATACTAGTCTCTTTGACACGCATGTTAAGTGTTTGGGGGATGTTTTCTCCCTCCAGTAGCTTCCTACCATTTTTAAGTGAATGTCATGCTAGTGAAAAGGGCCAGACTGACCCCTCTGGGTCCTTGGGGAATCCATAGCAGGCTTCCTCCACATCAGCTCAACACTGGGCTACAGTCCCGAGCTGGAGGGACCTCTCGTTAAATGGGGAGAAGGGAGTTTAGTCTCCATGGTCCACAGCATTTTTGCTGAGACTGCCAGCAAGGAGGTCAATCAGTACCAGCTGCAATGATGGTTTCTGAAATGTAGCTCTCTCTCTCCACTGATAAATGGACTGTGCCACCCCTGGGTCACCTCATGGCCTCCCAGCAACCATTCGATGGCAATGACCTTTGGTCACTCACTTGTGCCCAATTCATGCCAGTGACCTCCAGGGGAAAGGTTCAGTCCTGGTCCCCTGAGCCATCTGGCTGATGAGCATGTTCTGGCTCATTCTTCGTCTGCCAATGTAGCATCCTGAAAAGACGCCACAGGTTGACTGGGCCATGGATTGTGAACTCCCTTCTCACCCCTAACAGTCAGGGCTGAGGGATGTTGCACCAGCAGCCAATACAGTAAGTGGGGCTCAGAGCAGGGTTACCTGACAGGCTGCTGAAAATGGCTGCAGCTGTACAGGTGGTAGCACAGAGGCAATTTTCTTGCTAACACTGTGTAGGATTTAGAGCTGCATGACATTTTTTGACCGAAATATTTTTTTCAGTGGAAAAAAAAAAAGGTTGATTTGGTGAAACAAATGTTTTGTAGATTCGTGTCCGTTTCGCTAAATTGTTCATTCTGAAAATAACCCCCAAAAAAACATTCAGGAAAAAAAAATCAAAACGTTTGGTTTTGACATTTTCAAAATGAAACATTTCCCAGCTTTTCAGTTAAAAGGAAATTTCAAAACAAAAAGTTGCTTTGAATTTATTTTTGTTTAAAAAAATTAAAACATTTAAAAATGCTCAAAATCAAACAGACATTTACTGGTGGGTCAAATGTTTGACCCGAAATGATTTTTTTTTTTTAAAATTCTTTGAATCATTGAAAATTTTTTAAAGGTTAATTTTTGGGCTGACCTGAAATGATTTGTTTCACCTTTTCAAAACTGTCAGTGAACCAAAATATCTGGTTTTTGCCCAGCTCCACCTAGAAGGCGAATGGGCATTTCCTGCAGTACCACCTGCACCATCTCTTTTCAGGACAGCCTGTATCCCAACTACTCTTTTCCCACTCTCCCGGGATGGTGCCAAGGCTCAGTGTAACGTGTGGAATCCAAGTCCGCCCACCCGCCCTGTGTGGGCGGGAGAAGCCGTTGGTGCCAACGGCTGCCTGGGTGGTTGGTTGGTTGGTTTTGTATGTCTTTCAAACACACAAAATCCATGAGTCAGCTCAGTATGTTAAGCAACTGTTTAGGGGAACGCAGGGATGGAGATAACCAAGCCAAGTTCATATCATGCCGCATCCCACCTCACTGCAGCAGGGGGACAGACCATCTAGGCTGGTACCCCACACTCTCCACCTCAGTACAACAGATGAAGAGAGCAACGAGTGTGGGATCTAATCTGTGGGACTAGGTCAGGTGACTGGGCCATTTAGTCTGATATGGCACCTCCTGTTGGAGCAGATCACACTGCCGGGCCCTCTAGCCCCCTGCCCCGCCAGCTGTCTCTCTGAGCAAGACACCAATGTCCTGCTGCCCCAGATCAGAGCAACGGGTTAATAATACTCATCACCTCCCAGCTTTCCATCTTCAACACACTTACAGACCCATCCCCCCCCCCCCCCCCAATCCAGTCTGTGAGGCAGGGAAGGCTCATTGTCCTGAGCGGGGAGCTGAGGAGGAGAGATTCAGAGACTTGCCTGGGGACACGGAGGGAGGGAGTATTAGAACGGAGTGTCCTGTCAGTGCTGCACCCTGACTCCTGTGGCGGCCATTACCTGATAGTTTGGGAAAGGAAGGAAACCCAATCACAGCGCCCCTGGGTCTAGTAGTATGGAGCAGCCCCTGAGCGGGGTGAGGATAACACCTTCCCAAGCCCACCTGGGGTCTGCGTACCCTCCTCAGAGCACCCACCTGTGGCTTCCACGATGCCCTCCAGGATCACAATGATCTCAAACTGCTCCCTCTTCAGCGACTCTGCTGTCATTTCCCAGAAGGGGCTGTGGTCATTGATGACATGGCAGATGATCTGCGGCTCCACCAAGAAGAGCCTGTCCTCCCCTGTGTCATAGCCCAGGTTCAGCTCCGACTGCTCCAAGGGGATGAACTCCCCTTCCTTGGTTTGTCTGGATTTGATCAGTTTGGCCCTTATTTTCGCATCCACCATGTGGCTGTCCCGGAGGTCGCCAATGCGGAACATCAGGCAGAGTTTCTCATCCCGGTGGGAGACAACGCACTTCTTGCTGAATATTAAGGTCTGGGCGCGCTTCTTGGGCCTGGAGATCTTGACGAACATGCATCCCACCATGAGGGCATCTATCATGGACCCAACGATGGATTGGGCCATCAGCAAAATGACGCCCTCGGTGCAATCGGCTGTCACAATCCGGGAGCCATAACCAATGGTCCTTTGACTTTCCACGGAGAAAAGTAAGGCAGATATGAAATTGTCCACATTCTCGATGCAAGGCTTCCACTCCGGGTCTCCTATGTGGTTGACGTCGTCCCTAATCCAGGCATCGAAGAAGTAGATGATGCCAAAGACCACCCAGGTGATGATGTAGCACATCATGAAGACAAAGAGGAACCAGCGGTACTTGAGGTCCACAATGGTGGTGAAAATGTCCGACAGGAACCTCTTCTTTTCCTGGATGCGGCCCAGATTCACCTGGGACTTGCCCATTTTGGTCACATAGCGCTGCCGCTGCTGCTTGCTGGCGGAGCTGAACTGCCGATCGTCGTCCATGAGCTTGCAGCGCCGGTTCTGAGGTTTCTCTGAGGGGGTCACAGAGACAATGCTCCGGGTGGGCGTTTTTTTCCGTGCTGAGTTGGGGATGTTGGGCACACTGAGGGCATGCCGTGGGTACCACCGGGTGTTGATGTCCCGGAGCGGAGGCAGGGGATCATTGCGCGATGCCCGGCGGTACTTGGGCAAATCTTCGGTGTTGATGGAGACGCTGGGCCGGTGCTTCACGGGTACCACCGCACCTGTGCTGGTCTGCTCCACCATACTGAGTCTCCTCTGAAGGACTGATCTGTCATTGGGGATGTTTGAGCCACAGGAGTGGGGGACAAAGTTTGACATCGGGGCATTTTTCTTTTCAGCCGCAGGGTCTGTTTGCTGTTGGCTCTCTTCTGATAGGCCCATGGGGATGACCATCATTTCAGGCTGCAAGGGGAAAAGAACCAATCAAGAGAAATGCACCTGTTTTCCCTCCCACCCTTTGTCTGTCTGGTCTATTTAAACCTTAAGCTCTTCATGTGTATGGTACACCACAATGGGGCGCTGGGCCACTAGGTGCAACTTTAACACACACAATTATTAATACACGTCTACCCCGATATAACGCGACCTGATATAACACGACTTCGGATATAACGCGGTAAAGCAGTGCTCCGGGGGGACGGGGCTGCGCACTCCGGTGGATCAAAGCAAGTTTGATATAACGCAGTTTCACCTATAACGTGGTAAGATTTTTTAACTCCCGAGGACAGTGTTATATCGGGGTAGAGGTGTACTGATAGCAGACTGAGTCCCCAGCCCTCACCATGAGAGAGTTAAATAAAAGCCTCATCTCTGTGATAAAGCCTTTCCCACCCCAGTAGCAGCATCTGTGCAGGAACAACCAATGACTGAGGAGACTAGAGGGATGGGAGATAGGAAGCAAGAGGTAAAGAAGGAAGGAGGGAAAACTGCAAAAAACAACACTTAGATACCTCTTAGCTGATCTATATATGTCCGGGGTAGCATTAATGGGTATTATACATATGGTATTAATACCATATACATTAGATAGATACGTTAGACAGATTTAAGATTTGGGAAGTTACGTTAGCTGAATCTATTATTCTCTCTCTACAGTTCTGTTCACCCATGATGTCAAGTATCCCACAGCACTTTGCAAAGCTGAAGTCAGTTTTGGCATTAGAAAATAGGAAGCCTGTCAAGGCCAAGACACATGAATCGTATGTCCTAGCACAGGTTGGGAGTACCTCTGCACCCAATTGGTTTCCAATGTAGTATCCAAAGCAGAGATAAGAAAAGTGCAGAACAAAAGAACAAGTTAAGGAAGTGTTGCCACCTGGTGGGTTGGATTTTAGTGATGGGTAGAGAATGGTGTAACTTGAAAAATCATACTGTAGATACTACTAGCTGAAATACCTATCTTTGAAGCACATCTTTTGCAAGATAAGAATTGCTTTCTGGAAGGAGTGTATGTATGTCTCCTTGTCACATTGTACTGCGTTGTCTCTAGCCAAGACATTTGGCTATTTTGGTCCCTTGAACATTTTTAAGAATGAACTGCAAGTGTAGTCAAACAATTGGCGCCACCTTTTAGTCAATATACCATGGTCCTGGCTGCAGCCGATATTATTTGTATAGCGCCTTTCAGCCGAAGGGTTTTGCAAACATATGTACCTATCTAGCATTGCTGAAATGCAGCCCCCGTTTGGGAGCAACATGGCAGCTGTTTTCCAGCTGCCCAGCAGCGCGGGACAGGAAGTACAGAAGAAGAATCCTGGATCTATTTGACACTGGGCTGGAGGTTGGGGGTAAAGCGAGCGAGGCAGAATGAAATCACCCATGATTGGAGCTAACACACCCCTCAGGTGTGTCAAGAACCTCTCAGCTAAAGGAGCTGGGGAGAACATTGTCCCCAGCTGGGCTGGGCTGTCCACCTTCCTAGCTATGTGGGTACAAGAGTGATCAGGACTCAGAAGGATTGTTGTGGGAGATGGGGTGGGGCAGGATTTCTTCGTTGCTTGCATCAGGCTGGGCTGCATGTCAAACGGAGGTGCCCAGCCTCGCCATGTCCTTTAATGATGGGAGCAGCCTTACCTTCTGAGGGAAGGCGCCATATCTGCTGGTGTCCGTCGGGGGCCGGGGCAGGTAGGCAAGCATGTGCTTGGCGGTGGGAGTCTGCACGGGGGGGATGGAGTTCCTCCGGCTCCGAGGCTCCTCGTACTTCAGCCGGCAGCCGCCGATGTTGTTGTGGACACAGAGCCCGTTGTCCTGCTGCAGCTCCATGCTGCTGCTGGCGATGGGCAGCACCATGGCTGATCGGGGGCCGGGGCGCTACCCCAGGGCTTTGCACCTTCTCCGGTGGGGAATCCTGCCGGGTGAGAACACAAAGAGGGGGGTTATTTTAACGAGTGAGTGGGCAAGTTCAGTACCAAAAGCCAGTTCACTGTCAATGGGGCTGGGGTCCTCATTCCAGACAGTAGTACATGTAACCCGTTCAGATTCAGGGTAAAGGGGAGCCAGCCTGGCTTGGCAGAGCCCAGGTGCTCACCTCTGAGCATGGCTTAGTGCTGCAGACACACCCCTGTCCCGCTGACCGGAGCTGGGTGCACTGGGGGGATATAACAAAGGCTGTCCTCGGTCCCTTGAGGCAGCTTGTTCTCAGACAGACTCCAGAGAAGCCCCTGAACTTGCAGAGGCTGAATAGAGTCTGAACCCAGCATTCCTGAGCTGGGGTGAAGTTCAGCTGACCTGTCTGTCTCTAGCTAGCTGCTTCTGTTGCCCTTGTCACTGCAATATCTAAGTGCCCAACAGATATCAATGGGTTTATCCTTGCATCCCCCCTGCAAGAGAGGGAAGGATCATTGTCCCCATTTTGCAGATATGGAACTAAGGCCCAGAGAGAATAAGTGACTTGCCCAAGGTCACACAAGGAGTGTGTGGCAGAGCTGGGACATGAATCCATGTCTTCTGTGTCCCAGTCACTTGTTCCAATTGCTAGATCACAGTCTCTTGATCTGGAGATTGCTGAATATCTCCTGATAATCACTACAAGAGACAGAAGCATGGATGCCCTGAGATCCCTTAGAGGGGCCTGATTTTCAGATGGTAGGCAGCCTTCACCCCTTTCTGAAAAACAGGCACAGAGAGGCTAAGTGACTTGCCCAAGGTCACACAAGAAGGCTGTGGCAGGACAGGGATGGGAATCCAGGTCTCCAGGCAAATGCCCTAACCCCTTCCTCTCTAAGGGAAACAGTTATAGCCAATTTCAGGGCTTGTCTAGCCTAGGGAAATTTGCACCAATGTAACTATAATGCTGTAGCTATACCAGTGCAAAACCCTAACGGAGACACTTCACACGGAGCTTCGGCACATCCACACGGGAGGCTGGCACTGATTTAACTACAGCAGGGCAGCCCCCTCCCAAGATAGACAAGGGGAGCAGCTCCTCAGTGACTGAGGAGCCCAAGTCCCAGGAGCCTAGAAGCCTACGTCCAGTAACTTTCAGACAGACTCCTGGTACATCTACCCTCCCAGTGTTCCAGTGGCACAACTGCAGCTACATCCCTGGGGTGTAGAGACGTACGACAGCCACGGGAGGGGTTTTCCCGTCACTGTAGTGAATCCACCCCCTTGAGAGGCGGCAGCGAGGCGGACAGAAGAATTCTGCCATTGACCGAGCTGAGTCTACCGGGGGGATTGGTTGATCTCACTGCGCCGCACAGGGCACGTGACATTTTTCACAGCCCTGAGCGACGTAGCGAGGGCGAGCCAAGTTTTAGGTGTAGACCAGGCCTCGGGCTTCTAGGGGACATCTACACTGCAAAAAACAAAACAACAAAATGCAACAGCACGTCTCAGAGCCCAGTCCAACTGACTTGGGCCCAGGCTCCAGGGCTAAAAATAGCTGTGTAGGCGTTCCCGCTTGGGCTGGACCCCGGGCTCTGAAAGCCAGCCAGGGCAGGAGGACTCAGAGCCTGAGCTCCAGCCCAAGAGGCAACGTCTACACGGCTATGTTTAGCCCCCTAACGCGAGCCTTGCAAGTCTGAGTCAGTTGACCCGGGCTCTGAAACTTATTGCTGTGGGTCGTTTTTTGCAGTGTCGACACAGGTGCCCAACTCACTTTTGAAAATGGGATTTAAGTGCCTCAGTCCCTTAGATCCTTTTGCAAATTTTACCCTGGGCCTTACCCTAGCACCAATGTTTGGGTCCAGTCTCTATGACTGGGGAGCCCTGACACGTCCCCCTCACCTTCCTCTGCACATGTGCTAAGGCTGCAGAGCTAAAAGCACCCCAAAAGGCCTCAATGAAATTCACCAGTAGTTCGCCCCTCGTGCTGCCGCCCAGTATTAATAACACAGAGCATCTGTCCTGAACTCTGAGGGAGTAAGCCAAGTCCCAGATGAACTGCCGACTTTTCATTAGCACACAAGCAGCACCTTGCGCAAGATCCAGACACAATCTGGGGGCGGGGAGGACACAACATGGGGGTTGGAGGTGGATTAACAAAGCAAGACATAAATCCCCAGCAAATCAGTCCCCTGAGCCTGTCATTCTGCATGATTGCTTCGGTGGAGGGAAAAAAAGGGACAGGCCATTCACTAATGACAGCCTCACTATTTGCCCAAAGCCATAGGTTAAAAAAAAAGAAGGGTTTCATTGATAGATCTCTAAATCCTTTGCCAGCATTAGTGACGTCAATGGAGCCACAGCGCTTTGTCTTGAGATCACGTTTCACTCACTCCCAAAACTTGTGTTTATTTTAACAGAGGTTTTCATAGAAAGGGAAGCTGGACGCAGCCCAAACTGCTACTTAGAAATACAAACAGCACCAAGGAGAGCAAGACAAATGTCACAACGGGCAGGTCACAATGACTTTGGTGCTTGGTTCTGGGTGAGAACGGCAGGGTTTGCTTACATTTCCTCCCACCTGGAAGCCTGCCATCTACAGAAGCGTGTTTGTTTTAAATCCAGATCTACCTAACATGGGCCGTAGCAGAGTGGTTCGCAACCTCCTCTATCCGGCTATGGTTTGCATACGGCACCAATTCCTGTGGTATCTGAGCACTTCACAACCTTTCCTGTGTGAGGCAAAGAGGTACTACCCCCCTGCGAGGGAGAGAAATGCTTTTATCCCCATTTTAGCCATAGGAAACTGAGATACAGAAAGACTAAGTGACTCGCCCTATACAGTGGGAATCCCATCCATGATCAGGGCCTCGATTTGCTACCTTAGTACAAATCATCAAAGAATGACAGTTATTGCTATTAGTAATAAAAACACTTAGCACTTAACAGGAACACCACCATGGACCTAGCAGCGCTCTCTCTACACGGTGTTTCCAAACTGTCCTTGAAACAGTTGCGAATTGCCAAGTGTATTGGGGTTTCAAGTCCCTCCCAATCCTCCCGGTTTCTGACATCTCCCCTCCCCTCCTCACTGCCAGGTCTGCAGGATTAGGGGTAAGGGTGTGCGGAGAACTCAACTGGCAGCCTCCAAGCTGTGCCTGGCAAACATTCACCAAGGGCCAGGGCCAACCACCTCCCCAGGAGCCGCAAATCCCCCATTCTTAGCTCTTCAGGGCTCCATCCCATCAGCAGCGCTGCCAGGGGAGCCTCAGTTCAAAGGCACCGAAGAACAGACATGAGAGTCTGGCCCCCAGGTGGCTCTGGGGATTTGGGTCTGGCTTTGAACCTTGTGTTGGGGATCCCCCCCACCCCTGCCAGCAAAGTGTGTTAAGATAATGGATTTAAGGCAGAGCTGGGGCACAGAGTTTGGGGTGAGAGGCTGGGGGGTTTCAGTGCAATACCAGATGGCTAAGCCAATTATGTGACATAACAGCATTGCACAAGCTATCAAAGCAGGAGGCGACTGCCTCCCTGGGTGCTTACTGTCCTGCCGAGGCAAGCTGGCCTTCCCCAGGAGCTGCTCTCGGGTCTGTGGGAGGCGGAGAGTGGGCAGAGTCTGGCAGTGGGTAGTTTGGCCCAGGCTTTGCCCTGCTTTGATTCTAGTCCGTAAACTAATTCACGTGATGTTTGTAGGCACAGGCCTCAAAGCAGAGCACTCCCATCCTGCAGTGATGGGCACTGGCACGCAAACCACGCTAGACAGGGCTGGGTGCAGGTAAAACGGCGAGGAGCATGGCTTAATAAGCAAGCTCCTGATGTGAAAGACATGGCCAACAAATATCCCCGAGTCCTTTCTCTCTCTCACTGTTTGCCCATCTCTGGACGTGGGTGGGAGGAAGTCTCTCAGGCTTTGGGGTGGGTAGTTTACCTCAGAAATAATTATCGGCCTTAAGTATTCCCCTCTTCCAGGCCGCAGTGGCCAGCTGAGAACAGACATGTGCAAGCGTGGCACACACATCACTTGGAAATGTGCCTCTCCTGCTTGGAAAGGTCACGCTCTAGGGGTCAGAGTGGCAACAGCCTGCACTGCCAAGGAGGTAATTTTCTTGTAGAAAATTCACCTTCTAGGGCTGTCAGAGAAGGCAGCATGGCCTAGTAGACAGAGCACTGGAGACCTCACTTCTAATCCTGCCACTGACTGACTGTGTGATCTCGGACCAATCACTTCACCTCTTTGTGCCTCTGTTTCCCCTGCCTCCATTAGTCTATTTAGACAGTAAGCTCTTTAGACCTGGCAATCTGTTTTGTACAACACCTAGCTCATCAGTGCTTTGAGGTGCTGGCTGTAATCCAAGGGCTTGTCTGGACAAACAGTCAGTGCGTGGTAAGCTAGGATGTAAATCTGCAGTGCGCTGGCCTGTTGCATGCTAGCAGTTCACGTGAACCCTGCCACCGCACACTAATAGTTCCCGCTTTGAAAAGGGAGTAGGTCAATGCACACTAGGGGACTGTTAGTGCGTGGCAGCAGGGTCCACACAGACAGTGCGCGGCAGGCTAGAGCACTTCACATTGACACCCAGCTTGCGGAGCACTAACTGTTCAAGCGAGACTGCCCATCCAGCTCTAACGTGTAGCAGAGGATTACAGCTAACACAGTGTTACCAATTTTAAATTTCACTTGTGCACGCAACTAGATCAATGACCTGTAGAACACAGTAGATGCTCTGAACTAGACAGACCTGTGTTGCCTCCCTTGAGGGAGTCCACCACGTCCCCAACAGAGCTCTGAGCACCAGGCCAAACCCAGCTTAACCTCCCAGATACACCCCATTACTGAGGCCATGAAACACTGGTCGATGTGGGTCTCCTGATTCACACTGATGCGTTACCTACCAGGGACTGATCTCACTGAGCTCCTGGTCTCTACTCACCCAGAGAGCCAGAGGCCATCGTAACCTTGGGTC